GCCGCGCCCGCGAGGTGGCCCGCGCTGCCGCCGCCGCCGCCTCGCGCAGTCTCCAGCGGGTAGAAGTGCGCTCCGGGCAGGGTCACCGAGCTCACTAAGAGCTGCTCCCCTAACTGCATGCTTGGCTAAGCGCGGAGGGCCGTAGGTGGCTTCCTCTCCTCCGGGGGCCTTATTATAAAGGCAGAATAGGGGAGCCAGCGCCCTCTTCCGAGGGGAAGGTAACTTCCCCTTCTTCCTGCGCCGGGGCTACCCACCTGCAGACGCGCGGGTGGCACCGGCGCGCGCTGGAGCGCCCTGACCTCGGTGCGCGTCCTTCGCGCTAGGCAAACCTCCTGAGTTTGAAGGCAGGCGATGGAAATCGATTGAGAAGCCCTCTTTTTCTCTCCCGGGTCCCCACTACCTCCCTGGAGCCCCCCACCCCCTCCGTCACTCACACCCGGGAAGAGAAGGACTCAGATCTCTATCCTCATCCCCCACCAGCCCGGGCCGCTCAGTCCTTTCTCCAAGGCGAACCCCCCCACCCCGGCCAAGCTGACCACTTGAAAACTCGCGGGCTATCACCCGCTGCATTATATACGTGCGGTCAGGGAGGGGCTTCGTAGCCCCGCAGCCCCGGAACCCTGCGATTGGTGGATGGTGGTGACATTAATTCAATTAGGCATTTACTAATTGGATCCAGTCGCCGGTTATTTTCTTTTCCTTCAGCCTGGATCTTATTTATTTATTTATTTATTTTAAAACACCTCTGCCTCGCTGTGCCTGTATATCCCCGGAGTTTAGGGGAACAGGGTGTACGGTCAGCCTAGTAATCATCGCAGTGCTCTGCGCGGAGCATCCGGGGACCGACCGGGTGAGTGGTAGCGATAACGAGCGGAGGAAGAAAGGCTTTGCCCGCTCCCGGCTCGCGGGCCGGCGCAGGACTGCGGGCGTGGGGAACTGGGGCGAGAGGAGCGGCCCAATGGAAGTGTCCTCCCTCGTCCGGAGCTGTAACTTTAAGCACACATTTTCTCCAGGCGGGGGGACTGACTCCCTGGCCTTCTACGTGCTGAAACCTTTTGGGGGTTCGGTCTGGTTCTTCACCTAGTGGGTAGGGGTTGTGGACAGGAGCTCCACGCACAGCCGTTTACATTCCGGGAACGGCCAGAGCCCAGGGCCACTGGAGAGGATCGAAGGCCTCCTCCGTTTCTGGATCTGGAGGCCAGGTTCGGTGAGGCCCTGGAAACAAGCCTACGGAGAACTGAGCAGGCTGACCCATGACCCCTATTCTCAGGACCACACGTCTGCCTTCGGAGGCAATGACTTTTCCTCCCCACAAGTGAAAGGCCACGTTACTCAGTTTCCCCGAGACCCCTGAGTTTCTCTGCCCGCCGCGTGCCAGTATCTTCCGTCGGGCCTGAAACTTAGGAACAAAGGTTCGTTGGCAACCGCTCGGTTAAGATGCCCCGCGCCTTTCCTCCACAGCGCAACAAGACACCGAAGGGAGAATAATTAGTGACATAATCAGTATGATAGTGAATGAAGCCCCTTTGCCCCAGCTGCACCGTTCTCTCCTACGTTTCCGCACACAGTCGAGGCCAGAGCGGTGGGTTCCTATTTTATTGTTTTCTTACTACAGAAGGGAGGGGAGCCACGTTGCCCTGCAGATCGGAAGCAGTCAGAATATTCGCTGTGAATCAGCAATTACGGACGCGGCTTGTCATCGCTGCGAGAGCGCGTTTTCCGGCTGAGAAGTCTGGACACTGCTTCCCCAAGCGCACGCGATCACACCGCCAACTCTGCACCCACAACCGAGGAGGCGGCCGCAGGACTCTCCCAGCGCGCACTCGCCACTAAGGACCAGCCAGCACCTGAGAACCGAGGTTCAAACGATGTCAGCAGGTCTGGGTTAGAGAGCGAGGCCGTCCTGAAAGCATAGGGGCTTTGGGCATTTATAGGTTTTTCCTAGTGCTGAAAACTAGGCGCGCAGCATGGTTTTCAGGGTCTCCGAGTAGCTAAGGGAGGGGTCAGATAGACGAGGGAGCTGGGACCAGGGGCTGCAAGCCCTCTCAACTGTTTCTTTCGGGTTTGACTTGGCGCTCAGGTCACCTTCCCACCCACTCTCATCTCCCTGCCTTTTGTTTGCTTTTGACTCAGAGAAATCGTGAGGAATCGAAAATGTCAAATTAGTCTATCTTTAAGTTTTAAAACAATTTTGTTAGCATATATTGCACATATGATGCAATTCAATAGTTCAATATGAATAAGAGCTTTACAATCATCTCTACAATTAACTTTCGAACATCTATCTCCCTCTTGTACCCATCGTCATCATCAGCTCCACACCTCCCCACAACCTGCCCCCGCCTTGCCCCTCAGGAAACCATCGATTCAGTCACAGTCTTTATAGCTCCACCCACAATATGGTTATTTTAAAGAATGCTAGCCTCTCCCTGGTTTTCGCCCTGGAGGTTTGCCTATGGGACGCGAGCTAGCTCAGGGCAAGGAAGGCTGTGCGCAGTTTGGGCGCATAGGGCGACGCTTCGAGGGATTAAAGGTGCTCCTGGGGACCCCAGAGCTCCTCTACATTAGCTTTGATCACAGCCGCGGGATGTTCCAGGAGAGGAGCTAGCAGGAACGGACCGGATCTCGCGTTAGGTGCCGATATTTGGAAGGGGATTGGCCAGGGATAGGTGGCAGTTTTGCTGTGGGCCTCAGTGTCCCTTCAAAATGCTTTCGAAGTGGCGGGGGGGGGGGGAAGCGCTGCGCGTGGCAAAGTGCCATTGCAGGCAACAGGCATCGTTCCGACCCACTCTGGCGCAAATAACGCGGGCCAGCTGTCCCCCGCGCCACATCAGAAAAGGGCTGATTTTATTCCAGCCCCCGAGCAAGCTCTTGAAAGCGCGTGGGGTTCATTCCGTGTGCCACCTAGTCATTAAGTATATACACAGTATGTATAATTAGGATTTATGTTGATTCCAGGGATAGGGAATTGGGCTCTGTATCTCCTCATATCCCCAATAAAATTATGCATTGACTCAAACTTGAACAAATTTTACAGATGACAAAGACCCATTTTTTAAAGATCCAAAAGGCAGAGTCTACAAACTGTTCTGGGGCGCAGGCGTTTTGGGAAATGAGAAAATAAAAATAAAAATGATTACACTACATTAGATCTATAACGCATTTTTTTTCTTTAAAGTAACAAAAAGTGAGTGTTTAAACCAAAGGTGATTTTCTATTTGTGGCT